GGCTTAAAGCCGATCCCTGATGTAATCCAACAGAAATAGGAAAATATTTTGTCAATCCTCCTTCAGTTTGAACACAAGTAACAGCTCTAGTATACATATCTTTAATGACTTGAATATAAGTCATATCAACACATTTCTTCTCGAGAACTCTCCAAAGGATATCTCTTGGAACCTTATCGTAAGCTTTTTCTAAATCAATAAAAATCAAATGTAGATTCTCCTTATTATCTCTGAACTTCTCCATCAAACCTCTCAATAAATGTATAGCTTCCATAGTAGACATGCCCGGCATAAATCCAAATTGATTATGTGAAATTTTTGTGATATGTCTTAACCTATGTTCAATTACCCTCTCCCACAATTTTAAAGTATGACACATCAACTTAATTCCTCTATAATTTGCACACTCTTGTGCATCCCATTTATTCTAAAAAATGGGGACCAAAATACTCTTCCTCCACTCCTCAGGCATTTTCTTAGTTTTTAAAATAATATTAAAGAGTTTAGTAAGCCAAGAAACTCCCAAATCTCCTAAATATTTCCACACCTCAATTGGGATATCATCAGGTCCTACAGACTTTCCACCCTTTGTTTTCTTTAAAGCCTCCTCAACTTCTTTGATTCCTAATGCGGCGGTAAAAATGAAATGTTTGATTATTATTCATGATATTAAGGTCACTAAGGTTGATCATATTTTCAGAAACTTCATTAAAAAGTTTATCAAAGTAACTCACCCACCTATGTTGAATATCTTTTTCTAAGAAAAGTACTTTTTGATTTTCATCTTTAATACACTTTACTTGAGTTAAATCTTTACTTTTCTTTTCTCTTTGTTTGGCTAGTTTATACATATATTTTTCACCCTCCTTAGTATCTAATCTATTATAAAGATCAATAATAGCAGATTTTTTTGCGTCACAGATTGTTCTTTTAGATTCCCTACAGGCCGTTTGATATATTTCTTTAAGCTTTTACATTTAAACCAATTTTTATAACATAACCTCTTATATTTTATCTTCTCTTGCACAATATTATTCCACCACCAACAATTTTTATTTATAAAAACTTTTTCTTTTGATTCTCCAAGCACATCTTTTACTACTTGTTTAATAATGTTTGTTATTTTAGTTCATTAAACATTTGCTTCTTCATGAATATCCCAAATTTTAAAATCTTGAATTTTACTCATAAAAATAATTTTATTTATGGCTTTCAAGTTTCTCCATCTAATTTTATGATAATGAGTCCTAGTATTTATTATTTTACAACTCTTAATCTTAAAATCTAAAACTAATAAACGATGTTGGGTACTTAAATTTTCACTTGGAATGACTTTACAATTTTTTCAATCGCGACGATCTCTTCTTCTCATAAGAAAATATTTATTAGATCTACTCTTATAAGTAATAAGATGTTCATCTATTTTCTTGAATAAAGTATTAGTAATAACAATCATACGCTAAAACAAAATCTAAAATAGCTCTACCTTTTTTATTAGTTACTCCAAAATCATAGCCACCATGAATATTTCTGAAATCTTCTACCACTCTACCGACATGTCCATTTAAATCTGCTCCAATAAAAATTCTTTCTTCAAGAGGTATCATTTGTATTAAGTCTTCTAAGTCATTCCAAAATTTATCTTTATTTCTAGTGCGACTCTTACCATAATACCAAAGTTTAAAACATAAATTATCAATCTCCTTAGTCTTTTCTCCAACCCACTTAGTTTCTTGAATACATAACTCTTATCGATAATTACACCTACACCGTTTCTAGTGCGACTCTTACCATAATACCAAAGTTTAAAACATAAATTATCAATCTCCTTAGTCTTTTCTCCAACCCACTTAGTTTCTTGAATACATAACTCTTATCGATAATTACACCTACACCGTTTCTAGTGCGACTCTTACCATAATACCAAAGTTTAAAACCTAAATTATCAATCTCCTTAGCCGTTTCTTCAACCCACTTAGTTTCTTGAATACATAAGATATTAATTTTCCTATGAATCATAACATCAACTAATTCCATTAATTTACCATTGAGAGTACCTATATTCCAAGAACCTATCCTAATATTAGTTTCATTAGTTTCATGGACTAACTTCTTTACCCGCATTCGCCCTTAATGTGGGAACTCTTGCTTATTTAACACTACACTCGGGCGTCAGTGTAGCGGCCCTTGCACACTTTTCACTGTATTCAGGCTATACAGCGCGTCGCTTCCAGGAGACGCCCTAGCACTTACACAATGATCAAAATGATTCATGCCATAATTTTTTTTAGACAAGTTTTACGCTGGTTGTCGACTACCTAACGCAACCCTCCACTTTTCGCATCCGGGCTTGGGACCGACAACGACAGTGTTTCATATCGAGCGATTAGCTTTAGCAACATGAGCTCATTTAGATCAATTATCCCAGGAATTTTAATGCCCCCAGCTCAGGTTGTATTATTGGTTGTACAATAATACAACCAATAATAAAAATTTATTTATAACTAAAATATTTATAATTAGGATGCATAATAACAGTAATGCACGCGACTAAGGTCACTCGGAACGATAAAATATCCATTATGATATTCTATTATTAATATATATCATTTCATTTTACAATCAACATTGCACTAAACCAAACGTAGCACATCTAATAGATATTACTATTATTTTTATTATCTGAATAACACTATCACTAGATAATAACAGGCATACAAAGTAGTAATAATAATAATAATTTCGAACCTTAAGTTCAAAAATTCAGAAGGGCGAGTCACAAGAACCTCATGAAAACACCGTTTATCAGATTTTGTCCTCTCTAGAATTCATGCATCATGATGTTAAAGTTTTCATGATAAATTAAGAGTAAAGAATCCGAAAAAGTCTATTGGTTTTGCTCGCTTAAACATTGAAAACTGAACATAGATCCGTTGCATCTGAACTCACAAGCATCTTCGTTACATAAGAAAACATTCTGAATAATAATTAATATGAACAATTTAATACATGAACAAGATTAACTTCAAGATGCTGAAGAACAGGTCATGTAAGACAGACACAGAAGGTCAAAACCACTACAAAAAAAAAAAACAAAGAAAAAAAAGTAACAATTTAGAGCCCTTTTAAAAAAGAATGAAAATTGGCCTAATAGAATCTATCACTACCAGTGTTGCAGCAACTATATAGCCACTAAGCTGAGGCACCATCACCTTGCCATGCCCACACAATTTCCTTAAGGCCTGGTCTCATATCCTGCTTCCACAGCTTCTGATACTCATATGTATCACCATTGCTTTTACTAATCTCTACCAGATGAAACGAAGGAGTCACCTCAAAAACATTAGCATCAATGGCCAAAACTCCCTTTAAACCTTCTTTAGATCCTTCCATTTTCAAAACTCCTCCATCCTTCTTCTTAATCTTCAGCCTTAATTTCCTGGCAACTTCTTCAAGCTTTGAGATGATGGTCCATGCCGGCTTAGTGGATGTGAATCTTGCTTCCCTCTTGCAGTCAGCATCGCCAAACAAACCAGAAAGATTGAGTGCTGAAAAAGAAATGATGTCGAAAGCATTCAATTTTACGGGCTTCCCAATCTCTCTGTTCTCCATTACTTGATTTTCTTCTGCTGCAGTAAACTGAAAGGAATTGAAAGCTGCATTGACATCAAGCGGAACCAAGTCTCTTGCTTCTGTGTCTTTGTTCATCTGCTTTGCATCATACCCCTTTTTAAACCATGAATTTTCTTTTATTTTTTCAATTGAGACCCTGGTTTCTGCATTTGGATCAAGAATTTTTGTTATTAGCCTTCTAACATCTAGTGGAAACCAATTCGGGCATTTAAATTCGGCATTTCCTATCTTCCTGTACATCTCCATCAGGTTTGAATCATGAAAGGGGAGAAAACCAGCCATGAGAACAAACAAAATTACTCCACAAGACCAAATATCAGCCTTTGCACCATCATATCCTTTTCTATTAATTACCTCTGGAGCAACATATGCAGGAGTTCCACAGGCAGTGTGCAGCAAGCCATCTTGCCTCTTCGACTCTGCAAGGGCGCTTAGTCCGAAATCTGAAACTTTTAAGTTCTCATTTTCATCCAGGAGCAGGTTCTCAGGTTTCAAATCCCGGTGATAAACCCTTCTGCTGTGACAGAAATCTACAGCACTGATCAGCTGCTGAAAATACTTCCTAGCAACATCTTCCTTTAGCTTGCCTTTGGAAATCTTATGGAACAGCTCTTCGCCTCTAACATATTCAAGGACGAAATAGATCTTGGTTTTGCTTGCCATCACCTCATAAAGCTGAACAATATTTGGATGTCTTAGTAATCTCATAACTGAAATCTCTCGCTTTATCTGGTCTATGAGGCCTACCTTGAAGACCTTCTCTTTTTCGATCACCTTTATAGCAAAACTATGCGAAGTTCTGATATTTCTGCCATGGTAAACCTTAGCGAATGTTCCTTGCCCTAACAGTCTTCCTAATTCATACTTTTGCATAAGAACATGCCCATTATTGTCTGATACCATGTCTTCTATAATCTTCCTGAAAGAAAGAATGTTCTCTCCAACTTTGATCTTAAATTTCCGTAAAATGAGATTCTGAACTCAGAACACTTCAACCGTCATCACCAATGTCTTGCCCTAACACAACTGGATTTGAGTTTCTAAATTTACTTCGCGATTTTGAATTCAGGAAATGCTTTCAAGGGCTAGTTCTCCAATCTTATCGAACATTAATGGCAGAAGCCGATATGGAGGTACACCTGGATTCACCTCAGACAAGATTAGTGTGGTGCGGATGCACATCTTTCAGCAGTCATTAGAATTTTTTTTCCAAATTTTTTGCTCGCAAAAATATTTGGAAGAAAATTAGAAAAATCAACGGCTCCAATTTTAAATATTGATGAAACTGCATATGAAAACATGACATGGAATGGTGGAAGTGGAGAAACCTACAATGATCGAGCAAATCATACAAATGTACATTAGACCCCAAAATATGCTAGCGTTTTAATAGGCATCAATTGCTGAAGGATAGATGAGAGCGTGAAAGAGGTGGTTTACCACACCATCATTCATGGAAGGGAGGAGAATGGAGTGTATACGAAAAGGAGAAGAGGCAGAGGAGAGAGAGAGAGGAAGAGAGGTGGAAGGAGAGAGGAGGGAAGAGAGAATGGGAGTAAATTATGTTTTTTTTTTTTTTAATTTAAAGGTTTATTATTATAATTATTATTTTTTCGTGGGAATGTAATTTATTTCATAATTATTTATAATCAACATAATTCATGAAAAACATAAGTAATTAAATTTTGACTAAAATTTTAGTAATGATGGACCATAAGACTCTTGATTTGTCTTCAGAAGAGCTCGATATTAGAAATCTATATATTATACTTATTTTAAATAGATTTATGGGCTCTAAGACTGAACCTCACCAATTTTTTATCAGAATATCTAGATGTGAAATTCATTCATAAATCATTTGAACTAATAAGAAAATCAAGGAGAATTGAAAATCTATAACTATCATAAGTTTTACATCCAATTGAACCAATAATAGTTTGGCTTCTTTATTTTTATTAATAAATTAAGTTTCCCAAATAACAACACTAATTTGAAATATTATAATGAATTAAATCCTTCAAACATGCCAAATCCAAATTACAATAAATCAACTTTGATCATAAATTATATAAATTTGGCATTTTTTATGTTTCTAAACATCTCCATCAAGTTTGGATCATAGAAAGGAAAAAAAACTGATCAAGAGAACAAATAATATTACTCCACAAGATCATATATAAACTTCCACACCAATATATCCTTTTCTATTAATTACCTCTTATATTAAATTTAACTCTTACTAGGATAAGAATAAAATTAAATTGAATTTTGTTGGGATTGAATGGAATTATATTTGCTCTTAAATGTTTAGCTTTATTTTTATTACCAACAACAATAAAAACAACAAGCCTTTATCTCACTAAATGAGGTCAGCTACCTAAAACCTTTTTCTCCATTGTGTAGAGGGTCAAGTTTTTATTTAATTCTAATAAATTAAGATAATTTATTATTCAACATACCCAAGTTTTTTTAGGTCTACCTTAACCTTTCTGAATATATAAGTCAAATCTAAATATATACTCTCCTAACTATGTTATTAGATGGTTGACGTTTAATGTCATCAAACAATCTAAGGAGTCTCTCTCCAATCTAGTTTGACACTAAAGTTACTCCAACCATTTCATGGGCATATTCATTTCACATTTTGTCTCAATGTGTAAAGCCACCCATCCACTTTAGCATTCTCATCTCAGCAACACTAAACTTAATTCTATGCTTCTCCTTTAAGGGACTTATCCTACTTATTACCCTATTTCTATAAAAGAATCTATGATGTATTCATCTTTTATTTTTGGATGAATTCTACTTCATTGTGCCAAATTAAGTATGTTTAAATTCAAGATGTGTATAAAAAGTTCTTTGCCTAATTTTCCCTCCAACATTTTTCTTTGTTTTAAAGTGTGATTAATGGAATCTTCTTGTGAATTCCATAATCATATCTTCTTCCTATTGATCCTGCAACTCATCCAATTCATCCTAAAGCACAACTACATATCCCTTTTATCTCATTTAGTTGGTTCCTATCACTTCAATGCAATTGCACTTCACTATTCTCTCATTTGTGAATGCATTGTTCATGCTCTCCTTGCATTCAAATTCAACCCATGGGCTTGCCCTCCTTCGCAAATCACAAGAGACACTTGTGAAGAACTTACCTTCAACTTGTGTGTATTATTCACTGGCTTTTAGGGCCATTAATCACTAGACCTCAATTACTTATTAGGTTAACATAATTTTGCATTTTTTTTCATTGCATTTCCATCCTCCAAAAAACTTCTTCCTTTTTCCCTATCCAACAATGACACATAAAACATGTAATTCGTAGCACATATGAAACTTCAAACAACCTCTTCTACTCACAATTCAAATTCCTGCTCACAAAGGTCTTTGCTTGTTATCCTGAAATGATAACATCCTATTCATCTCCTACATGTTAGCTACATACATATGCACATCTTCCATTCTTATCTTTGCCTTATTTAGCTACTCCATCTACAATCATCAAAGTATTAGCATTGGCGTGTGCATGACAACACTCAACTCTGTCTCAATCTATTTGTAATCGACCATCATCACTAAGTGAATAAAGAATTTTTACCAACACATGGACCGTGGCTATTTGAAGCTTGACCCAAATGGCGAATGGTAATAATCTATGTTAATGTATAGATACATATATACCTATATAAAATTTTAAAACTATGCATGGACAACAAATGAATTATCTACTAAAATATATCTAACTGCAATCCCAAAAGTTACATTTTATGGTGAGATTTACATATAAGAGAATTAAGCACTATGCTAATGTTGTCTAGCTAATTAATACGATGATCATAATTGTGTTAGTTCATGGATACTTCTTGTCATTGAATTTGATGTTTACTGTGGAAAAAAATTGATTATTTTCAATACGACAAATACTAAAAACTACTTCAAATTCATTTGAGTACTTTATTACAATAGTGTTGGAACCTAGAGAAAGTTGGGCGAGACACTCACTACTCCTAAATTTTAACTAAACCCTTTAATATGTTAATCACACTAAAAATTATCCCCCCAAACTAAAACACATAATAATAATTAAAAAAATATTATATCTTAATTTAGAAACCAAATCTATAATAGTTTTAAAAGTATTAAGGAGAAAGAAGTTTTAAATTCAAATGCTTGTTACTCCAATATTTTTTATTTTTCCACTTTTCACATTACGTTTGTTCAACCACTACTTACTAGATTGCATTTACATATTACATCATTAGTGTCAGCAAACACATCACTGACTTTAGAATTAGTCCAAAATATTTTCAAAATATCTTCCCAAAATAATCAATGTAAAGAGTCAATCATCGACAGTTTGATTAATAATGAGATACTTATATAAGACTATTTAATATAACATAAAATCTTTATGTAAATTATAAATTGATTCTATAATTTAACAAAAATGAGCTTACACAACTTATACACAACCTATCTATCCTAGACAGGCTAGAAGGTTTATTCTGACTTATCAATATCGTGCTCATAACATATTGTTGATCAGAACTGTCCAAACCAATAGGTATACTAGTATATAAAAATTCATCCAAAGATATGCTACCACTAGTTTTGATTATAATATTTTCGGTCATCATTATGCCACTCAAAAGGTTGATACTCAAACTTGCAAAAAAAAGTCAAATTTTACTAAATGACACTGGAATATCAATATTTGTGATAATGACTAACATGAAACTACACCATCTATTTGATTTCTCTTAATATAAGTATGTGACTTGTCCTAACTTCCATTTGATTTCTTTTAGTCACAAAATCTTTTTACAAATTTTATATATCAAGATGGATACTTTTACAAGGTTCATAGAATTTTCATTTTCAAAACTAATCTTTATCATATTGTTTAGGAAATGCATGTTGGTGGCATAGCAAGCAATGTTGCCTAGCACAAATCATATATTTATTTGAATGTGAGCTTTACTGTCCTTTTATTAAGCTAATATACTATTAGAATTGTTAGTCAATGTTGAGCATATCAAATAGTAAGAAAATATAAAGCATGTTAGCAAGCACACTTTCCTTCATAACCCATTCAATCCCTGGTTTGAGTTGATTATGAATTTTTTACAGGTGATATTTATTTTAGTTAGTGGTAATGATAGTATAACGCTAGTGGTAGAGGATCTTCTAAAATAGCTTACTTCATTCCCATGCTTTAAGGAAAAAAATGCTAGGCAATATTTTTAAGTTCTCATTAACTTTTCATCCTAAAATTAGTGGCAAGTTTAGTGTAATATATAATTTTTTAAGATATCAATTAAAATACATAATTGTACAAAAATCTCTGTAATGGAGAAATCCATCTTCCTACAACTAAATATCCATGCAATAACAATGTATTGAAAACGATGGCAAGATAGAAACTATAATTTTTCAGAGACTAAAGTGTAAAAATTTATAGCTTTTGGATTTTCACCATTGCATACATATTCTAATTCTTTTTTATCATTTGTGTGGAAATATGAGAAGATCCTGAAGGAAATCTGAAAAGATCCTTGAGAAAATGGGAGAAGATCTTTGAGGATTTGATTGAAACAAATTAGGAAACTCTTGATTAGTTTATTCCCTTTCTATTCTATGTTATTTATTTTTTATTTCATAATTATTTTCTTTCTTAATTTTGGTTAGATATATTTGGTAAGTTTGTGAATTAGGAGGGATTGCTTTTACTATATATATGTACCCTATATGTGAATAAATTAAGGGAACAAGTCCTCACCATACCCATTTTCTACATGTAATTAGAGCTCTAATACATAACCTATCTATATCCTGATGATAAACCTCCTCCTTCATCTATAAATGCCCTTTGCTCGAGCTGAAAATATTTGCAGGTCACTTTCCCGACTCTTCCCTATAACATGAATCCCTCAATTGTTCCTGTCTTCTGCTGAAAATCTTACTGATAGCGTAAACTCCCTTTTGCAGGCCCTTCTCTGGTCAGAATTTCTCCTAGGCACTAACAACAAAGAATTAAGACTCCTTGCTCCAAACCAGAGATCATTTTGTCTCCCTTATGGAAATCATTTCCTCTTTCTCACGGATCATGTTCTTCTGTCCTGCACGAGAAGGTCATTTT